GCAAGGTAGAGGTGAGTGAAGAACTGCTTATGAGGTTTTCCATCAATTCCAACAACTAAGAAATAGAGTTGGGACCTCAGAAGGCTTTTAGGACCAAATAATAGGCTCTTGTGTCCAGGAGAAAACGAATATACTTACCAGTAAAGTTAATGCTCCCCACGGCTCTTCTGGGAGGATCTGAATCTTTGAAGCTTAAGAAAATATCTTTCATTGTTATGTTATCCCTTCCCCCCAAGTGCACTCCACTATGCAGCCTTCAATTTGTCATATACCCCTTTTAAACAGTCCTCTCCCTCATCTGTCTCAATGCAACATACATCATTCCTCCCCTCCTTTTCTGTCTTCCCTTAACCCTGATGTCAACTCCGTTTTACAACAGTGGCACTATGCAATATTTGTCCTTTTGTGACTGAGATATTTCACTTAGCATAATGTCCTCCAGGATAGTCCATTTTGCATAATATTTCATGAGTTCCTTGTTTTTCAATGCAGCATAGTATTCCACCAGAGCTTCTCTCTCCATTCGTTTGTTGATTGTTTTCAGCTCTTTGTTATTGCGAACAAAGCGGCAATAAAATGGGTGTGCATATATTTGCTTGGGTGGCATTATGGCTTCTTTAGGGTATATTCCCTGTAGTGGAATTGCTGGGTTAAATGGTATCTCTATTTGCAACTTTTTGAGAAAGCGCCATTTTGCCACCAACAGTGAATAAGGGGTCCAGTTTCTCCACAACCTTGCCAGCATTTGATTAACTGAGTATTCTTTTAGAAATTTAGGTGCTCTGAATAATTTAGCATGGTTCACCCGGATTTATTAGATGTTGATTAATATTAGCATGAGAATGAATTTTAGTTATTATTTTCTTGGAATTTCAGCACAATGATATTTGTTCTGTTAGGGTTTCTCTTTTGTGGGTTCTCCCCACCTTGTTGTGTACTGTTGAATCAGATCTAATTGGCACAAGAGGAGATTTCCCCTGCTTCTTCAGAGGAGCATCAAGTGGATTCGAACCATGCACCTTTGGGATTGCAGTGTAGCTTCTTGCCACTAGGCCATGTTTTCGTAGGTTTTTTTATAATCACTTTTATGGGAACAATGCTATGAAACACATTGAAAGAATATCTGAAATACAATGCATATGAATGAAACACAGTATATATGAATTATGTATAAGAAAAAAATAGCTTTTATGATATGCTTTCTGTTTTTGTTCTTTTTGTGGTGAATTCAAACTGTACACCTTTGGGATTACAGTACAGCTTCTTGCCACTAGGGCACCAGAGCTCCTGAAAAAAAATAGCTTTTAAAATTGTCTGACTTTAGTGTATGTTTTCAAAGTCATTGTTTTTTTCACTCAACCATTTATACCCATTTTGTTTTAGAACATTTCTTATAATGTATACAATGAGAGAACATCGTTCCTTATGCCTCCCTGAAAGAATTGTTTCCATTAATCCTGTCTCTCCTGGTCTTACCTTCAGAGAAAATGATGCTCTGGGCACATGCTGCCTTTTTCTTTATTCATGGTTACTTGTTGTAAGACACGAGGGCCTCCCTGAGTTATTGTTCATCTCAGAGACCTGTCTGCTCTTTGTACGCACTTTGAGTCTCATGGGGACGAGTTGTGTTTCAGTGTGAAGTGTGATTAAGAGCTAACGGAGCTTTGGTGATTTGGTGGGATTCGGGTTGTGTTGCTAACCCAAAGACAGAATTTCTCTGAGGTTTGATTCCAACAACAGCTCCTGAGGAGACGTTGGTGTGGGGTAGGGGGAAGACAGACATTCACCTTCTATGCAGTCACAGCCTTAGAAGCCAACTTGAGGATTAGCTATGAGTTGGTTCTGATTGAACCTACCGAGGACTTTGTAGCAAGCCATACTGTGGCCGTTTTATGCAAGTAGCTGTTTTGTGCCAGGTTCAAATGTGTAGAGCTGTTTATCATTGTGCTTTGATGTTTGCAGGGGAGCAAAACCAGGTTTAATTGGTCCTTGTACCTTAAGGCCAAGCGGGGATGTGGAGAATAGAATGTCCCTCCCTAAAGATTCTGTTTAGACTTCAATTCTGATGGCCTTGCCTGCTGATTAGAAGAGCAAACAGCCTTGCTAGCAGGTGGCTCATAAATCAGAACCAATGTATGGTCAGCCTTGAGGTTGAGTTGTTTTTCTGTTCACTGCAAAAAATAAGGATAAAAAGACAAATGAGAATAAACTCGGGGCTGCAGAATCTCTCTGCACACCTCTCCTAAACCTTCCCCTTGTGTAAAATATTTTTTTAATCCACACTCCTTGTCACTCCAACCCTGTTCATCTTGACCAGTTGCATTATGTCAGGACTTTAGTTCCCCCCTTCTATCTGATATTTAAACCAACATTTCCTTATAAACTTTTCCTCTCACTTGGGAGGGAAATAATGTCTCCATTATGTCACCGAGGGAAGACTGGTATCTTTCACTTCATCTTTCCGACTGACGTCGGGTGATTAAAAGGAACAGTGTTGACTTGGTTCTTAAGGCTAGTGTGTCACAAGGACTCTTGCAGGGGAAATCTTGATGGCTGTTAATATGTTTGGGAATACCATATGTGAATATTAGATCCCCCTACAATAAGAGCCAACAGGATTTTTATTTCAGCACATTTTGCATGTACATCTCAGTGGCATTAATAATGTGAATGAAAAAAAATGTGAATGAGTCATTCTGCTCAATGATTCTCACAGTTTGCAATCCTTAATCTTGAACAGAAAGTCAATTCCTTCTATACAATGTCTCACTACATTCCCTTCTTTCCCACCCCTGATAACAATTAAAAAATACTGATTTTTATATATTTCTTATTTAGATGTTCATTATAAGGGGGATCAGCCAATATTGTTCGATTTCTTTTCTTCCCCTTAGAGCGAAAAGATCAAAGAAAACAACTTCCTTTATTTTTTTCCATTGTTTATTGCAAAACATTTTAAATATACGAAGGTATCTGTTAAGGGTGATCATATAATAATAAAGTCATCATTTCTCTTATTAACTAAAGTACAAAATTCAGACCCTTCTTTTTAATTTCTTCAATTGTGTAAATCTATTTTTTCTTTCAATTTACTCCAAGTTTCTTATGAACAATAGTATAAGACAGGGTCATATCTGACCCCAAGGTCCAGTTTCCCCAAAGTTTACCCCAAATAGCACTCTTGTTTTATGAAATGAACTTTACATTTTCATGTTTAGTTGTTGTTGTTGATTCCCTTCGAGTTGAGCATGACTCATAGAGACCCTATGGACAAAAGACCTGACACTTCTCTACAGCTATCGACATTTATCAAAGTTCTAAGAGTTTCCGGAGGCATGTTGCTTAGGAAGTGGATGCCACTCCTGCTTCCAAACCGGTCATAGAATGTTATTAGTTGAGTCGCCTGCAATGCATAGTAACCCTATATACAGCAGCTCTGAACCCTCCTTCCCTGTCCTGAGCCAGTCTCACGAATTCTGACACACCAATCCCTAGTGCCACAGTGACTGAATCAATCCATCTCATTCGGGGTCTCCCTCTCCTGTGCTGTCCATCCACCCTTCCGAGCATGGTGTCCTTCTCCAAGGACCAATCCTTCCTGGTCCTATGCCCAAAGTAAGTTAGACGGAACTTAAAAAATCCTAGCACCCAAGGAGAGAGACCTGGTTTCACCTTCCCCAAGACAGACCGATTTATTTTCTTGGCAGTCCATGGTACGTTCAAAACTCTTCTCCAGCACCACAACTCGAAGGCATAGTTTTCTTCTGTCATCCTTAGTCGTTGTCCAACTCTCTGGTCTTTATAATTCTAAAATTCCACATTATTTCATCTGTCTTGGAGAACATACAACTGGAATCAAAGCAAGGATAGGCAGACCTGGTCTCACTTATATTGCCTGTAGCCAGATAAATGAATCCCTGGAGAGGATAATTTTTGGTGAAGTAAAAAGTCAGCAAAAATCAGGAGTTCACTAAGGAGACAGATTAACCTAGTGACGACAACAATAGGCATAAATATACCACTAATTGTGAGAATGGCACAACAACATGCAATGTTTCTCTGTATTATACAGGAGATTGTCATGAATCACACCAACTCAATATAAACTCAGAACAATGGCCACATGATTTCAGAACAGATGATTTATTATGATACAGACTTTCGCTGTATAAATTACATCATCAGTACAGGTATAAGCCTGTAAAAACTTATGTAGCAATGGCATGAATCTCGGGTCTACAATATAGTACTTCATTTTAGTATGATTTACCTTTTATTATTGTAGAAGCAGATCAGTCTATCAAGATCACCCCTCTGTTGGTATGAGAATGCCCCATAATTCCGAGTCTGTAATGCATATTTCCACATGACTGATACAATATAATAGAAATGCACTGTGTTTTCCTTCTTTTTAAAATTTTTTTTATTATTATTAATTTTAATGAAAATTTACAAACACTTTGGATTTCCATTCATTCATTGTTGCACTTTTCTCCCTGCCCACCCTTCCCTCTCAGTACACTCTTCTTTTTGAAAAGTAAAAGAAAAATTTTTTCATTGTTATACAATCCCTCCCCTCAAGTCCACTCCACTGTGCAGCCTTCATTCTGGACTCCTGTCATGACAATAATACCTAATCACATATCCCTTTTAAACACTTCTCTCCTCATCTGTTTCAGTGCAGTATACATTATTTATCCCCTCTTTCTCAGTCTCCCCACAACACCCATGTCAGTTCTATTTTACAACAGTGGCACCATGCAGTATTTGTCCTTTTGTGACTGAGATATTTCATTCAGCAGAATGTCCTCCAGAGTCACCCATTTAGAATAATATTGCATGAGTTCCTGGTTTTTCAATGCAGCCGTAGTATTCCATTGTGTGAATATACCACCGCTTTGTTTGTTGATGGGCACTTACATTGTTTCCAACTCCTTGCTACTGTGAACAAAGCCGCGATAAACATGGGTGTGCGTGTATTTTCCTTCTAAGAAAGACAATTATGTTGTGATTTTAAAGCAAGTAGCACAGAGTCTAGATACGCGGCTGTCAGTGCTCATGAGAACAAAGGGGCTGACTGTGGGGAAACACATCGACATGAAAGCAGATGTGTTCACCAGCCACCAACTGGAAAGACCAAGATGAGCCAGAAAAGTAGACATAAAGGAAGAGAGGGCATAAAATGACACGTAGAAGGCCACCAGGGGGAGGATGATCTTGGTGGCTCTGGTCTCAGCAAAGAATCTGGGGGATAGGTTATTGTAAATGTGTTGTACCTGCTGTTTATGCTTGCACAAGACAAACACCATGGAGCCACTGGCCCAGGACATGAACCCCAAACACAAAACATCGTGGGAAAATATCAACGTCATGTAGAGTGAGAATGTGACACTGTCATCGTGTTTAGAACAATATTGCAATCCATTTCTACTTACGATGGTGCTATTGTTCCATTTGCTAGATGTATAAATCGGGAAAACGGCATTGACCAGCATGTGTAGTATCCAGCAGAGAATGTTGGAAGGACCAATGTACTTTAGGGCCTTTAGTTTAAGCACTGCCCATCTGGAGTGCAGAGGGCTGATAGTGATGGCCTGGAAGACACTCAAGAGGCAAGTCGTGCCAATGGACACCCCCCTGGACACTCTTTCAAAGTAAAAAAGAAGTTTGCAACCAACATCACTAAAGTGATGTGCTACACCAAAGGTCTGCATTGTCCGGGGGACCCCTTTAGAGAGAATGGCTAAGGTGTTGGCTAAAACCAGGTGCCTGAGAATCAAGTCTGTGGACCGTGAGTTTCCTCCACAAAAATGAAGGAAAGTATAATGAATGATGAGTGAGAAATTTCCCAACAATCCAATGAGAATCTGGACTAGGAGGAACACTGCAGGTTTTAAATCCATGGAAGAATTCTTTCATTCTCTAGGGTTTGCAATTAAAATCCATGCAGAGAGAGTTCTGCATGGAACCATGCGTTTCGGGTTACTTCACAGAAAGCAAGATACGTGTATTTTCACTTAGCATTTTTGGAGGGAAAAGTACTTTCCAAAAATGATCTGTCTTGTTCACAGTTTCCCAGTATCTTCTCCATTTGTTTTTATTTCCTTCCTATGTTTTGGTCACTATTTTGTGTGCTTCACTTATTCTAAGTCATTTAGTATTTAGGCCTCTCTGATTTGGAGCTAATAGTCTCCGTTGTCAAAGTTAAGAGAATTTAACTGCAAAGTGCTTCACGGACTCATAGAAACTATTGTAAAGTAAAGACGCTAGCCTGGATAACAGTAATACATGTACTCTGTCATTTCTTAGCGTTCTATTTCATGATAACTCTTTTACTGTGTATTTAAAACTATCTAATATGTTTGCCCTGTTTTAAGTGTTTTGAGTTTAGTTCTGATAAATTCTCATTTGTTTAAGTTTTCTATCAACTAATAGCCTGTCTTTGAAAGGAGGAGTGGCATCCACTTTCATAGTAGCTTGCCTCTGGAAACCCTATGAACCTGGAAGAGAGGATGAGAGACACACAAGCGTTGAGGACTCTCCTTCATAGAGTCGCTATGAGTCGCCTGCGACTCGACAGCACTTAACAACAACAACAATAGTCTGTCTAAGGGAGCTCTGGTGGCCTTGTGGATAAGTAGTTGCTCTGCCAACCCAAAGGCCATTGATTCAAATTCACCACCTGAACAATGACACGAAGATGAAGTAATCTCCTTCCCTGTGACTCACAGCCTGACAACACTCACTAGAATATTAGCTATGAGTCTGTTTTGACTCTAGACAACAAAACATTATCAATAATATGTATAAGGAAAAAAATGTAGATGTTTTATTGTAGGTGACCTGAGCAATTTTCCAGGATTTAGCTGGATTTATATTATAGAATTAGCATGGCGACCCACTAATTAAAATTTTGTAGACAAGAGTTAAAGTACGACTACAATCATGACAGAAATTACTGTAGAAAACTAGGCTGTGATATAAAGTGTAGGACATAAGACTTAAATAATCCTGAAGTATATTGAGGTAAAAACCTGTTAATCTTTTTTGAGAGTTTATATAATGATATCTTTGCCATTTAAATAATAAAGCTAAATTATCATGAATATTCAGTTTGGCAAAGATGATAAAACATAAAGCAGATATATTAAAAATGACTGTAAAAGAACTCTTACACGGAGTAACAAACAAAGTACATAGGGATAAAAACCTATTAATCCTTTTTAGAGATTATATAATGAAAGGGTTGCCATTTTAAATAAAGACAAATTCTCATACATATTTGATTTGAGAAAGATGTTAAAACATAAAGGAGATATATTAAAAATGACAGTAAAATAAATCTTAAGAAAATCTCTTTTCATTCCATTACACACAACAACGAAGTATATTGGGGTAAAAAGTTATTAATCATTTTTTGAGATTCTATAATGATATGTTTACCATTTTAAACAATAAAGATAAATTCTCATGAATATTTGGTTTGGAAATATGTTAAACATAAAGCAGATATATTAAAAATGACAATAAAAGAACTCTTAAAATGTCTCTTTTCATCCATTTACACAGTTTGTTCCAGAATTGGATAAATTTCAAATGCTCAGTCCTGCCAGTTACAGGAAGAACATTACAGTGTCACTAATTGGTTATTGCATGTGTGAATCATCAACAGGAAAATTCCTGAAAATTTGCCTGCCACTTGGCGGACAAAATCTAGTAAAAGATTAAATTTGAAATGACCACGATGAAACACTCTGAAATTCAGATTTTCATACACACCCACCTTCTCACCTGCTTCTTTCTCGGCTAGAATTTCTCTTTCACGCTGAAACCGACAGCAGTCACCAACTTCAACCTCCTGCCTGAGTGAGAGTCTCAGTGACAGTGACCACAGGCAAACAGGTGTGACAGAGAGGCAGCCAGACCCGGAGATATGGGCTAGAGGATCTGTGACGTCACCTCCCCACAGGAAGGCAATTATGACCTCGCCTGTGGCAGGCATGACAGTCCACCTTGGGGAGAGGAGAAAAGTTCTGTCAAACTTGGTCCCACTTTTTAATTCCTGGAAACTCCAGTGCCGATGAGCCTCTCTAGAGATTATTCGAGTGTTTTGGAGATTTTAAACTTTCTGATATTCCTGGAGGCAGAGAAGGGCTCCCACGGAGGGAGCAGGAGATGGTGAGGTCTGAACCAGCAGGCACTGGAGGGAAGGCACATAAGTCTCACTGGATTTCTGGTTGCCTGAAAAGTTCTTCCACCAAAACCTAATGCTTTAGCAACTCAGATCTCTGAGTTATTACTTATTGATAAAGACATATAATAGCATTCTATCTCAGAAGGATTTAAAAAGGCTGATTCTGGAAGTAAGTGCATGATATAAATTATGATAATTATAATTTGTTAATTTGATAATAATTTGATAATGATAATTATAATTTGTGTATACAGTAGAGTCAGAGCTGACCCATAGATGACCCTCTGTCAGGTTTTGAGAGGCAGTTAATGGCTGGGGAGGAATCTGTACATCCTTATTCTGTGAAGCAGCTGGTGGATTTGAACCACATACCTTCGGGATTGCTGTGCAGCTTCTTGCCACTAGGCCACCAGAGCTCCGTATTATATGGTCATATGTATTGTATATTGTTGTTGTTTGTTGTTAAGTGTCGTCAAGTCGTAGGCAACTCATAGCAACCCTGTGGACGAAAGACCTGAGCACTGTTCGTACATAGAGTTTCCGGAGGCAAGCCATTTCGGAAGTGGATGCTACTCCTGCTTTCAAGCTTGTTTTAATCGGCCTCCACCAAACACTGTCCACCATGGGTGACCGTTATATATAATGTATTATATATAAACACATATAACCTGATTGTCCTAAAGTTAGGTCCTCGACTGCTACCCAAAGTGTTTGTGAACATTTCCTATAATCAAATTTCCAATTAAAGTTTCTTCTTTAATTTTCCTCCTGCAGTTTTTTTTGTCGAGAATATATGTATGATATAATGTTTTTCATTTTGTGATTCTTTGTACTTAAAAATTCAAATTTTTATATCACTCTTAATATAAAGTTACCAAAAGAAAAGCCACTTTTTTTTGGACTTCTTCCAAGAGAGATTTATTTGTTCCTCTGACAGTACACAATGTGTTAAATCTAAACAAACAAACAAACAACAAAAAAACATACAAAAACAATCACACACAAAAAAGCTTCATTGCCACTGTCTTGGTTCTGACACGTAGATGACTCTCCAGCTGGTTTTCAAGGCTGTGAATTGCACAGAAAGAGATTGCCTGTCTCTCCCTCAGAGCAGCCACTAAAGAAAGAACCACTAAAGAAATGTGATCTTTTGATTAACAGCACAACTCAGTACATATTACACCACCAGCACCGCAATTCAAAGGCATCGATTCTTCTTCAGTTTTTCTTATTCATTGTCCAACTTTCACATGCACCTGGCACATTGTTGTTCTGGAAAAGCCACTTTTAATGTATTATTTAAAAAAAAATCATAGTCATACGGATGAGAATGACAATGTCTTTTGTATTATTGTTTTCTTTTTTCTATTTTTTTAAAAATTGTTTTCTATTATGTATCATCTAGTTCTGTGTGACTTTAATCTGCAGTCCTCAGATCTGGTTGTAACTGTTTTTTGTCAAACATTTTTCTAAGTGTTATCACACTGGTCTGTCTATTTGCTGTACAGCGGTAACTCATGGTTGCTGTGATGCTGAACATTGTGACACTGATGTGTTGAATGCGTTACTGGTTACCCATGGTGGACAGTGTTTGGTGGTTGTTATTGTTGTTGTTATGTGCCATTGAGTCGCTTGGGACTCATAGCGACCCTATGTACAACAGCCCTAAACTCTGCTCTGTCCTGTGCCAATCGCACTGTCTCCAACACTCCCATCCCGATTATCCCAGTCATTGAATCAATCCATCTCATA